AAATTGTCCCCGCCCCTCGGGGGTGGGGTGGGGAGAGGCATCCCAGCCAATCCGAGGGAACGGGTTTCCAAAGCAGCCAATCACAGCGAGGGTGTGAGGGTGTGAGAAAGGAACGGGAGGCCGTCCGAGAGCGCTTGGCGGCAAAGGCGCGCGCGGGATCGCTCGAGCGCGCAGGCGCACGTGCAGCTGTGTCACCTCGTCAGGGGCCCCGCCCGGCTCCCGGAGCGGTTGCCATGGAGACGGCGGGAAGCAAGGCCCGGCGAGCCAGGCGGCTCATCATCACGGCCAGGTGTGCGGCGGCCACACAGGTGAGGGCGATGCACGCGGTCTGCGCGCGTGTTTCTGAGCGTGTAAAACGCCTTCTCTTCCAAGATTCCGTTTGCACTACAAATCCCATCCGCCAGCCAACTAGCTCTCAGCCTTTTGCATGAGAGGCCGGGGTAACTTTAGCTTTTCTTTCTTCTCCTCTCTCCACCGTCTGCAAAGGGTCAGGTTTTAAATTATCTTTAATCTCTTTGCAGAGGTGATTTGAGGGCTGAGAGATCAGAAGGGGCATTGGCCTTATGCTGGGGGTGCTTTGGATTACAAATCCCATCAGCCACCTTCGGGGTGAGGATGTTGATAGGTCCCTTCTTGCAAGAGACATCAAGAAATTGAAAAGATTCCCCCCCCCTTAAATACTCATTGTTTAAAGAAAATCTGAAAATTTAATTAAAAAATAAAATTATACATACATACATACATACATACATACATAATACATATACTAGGAGATGCTTTGGACTATAGATCCCATTAGCCAGCTTCCGGAGTGATGACTGATGGGGATTACTTCTCTTGCAATAGATTAGCCTCTCTAGTTTTTGGGTCCTCCATACCTAAAATTCAAGCCTTCTTTTTCAGTGTTTTTGTGTTTTGCTTGCATCTTCCCCAATCTTGCCAAGGAGCCCTTGGTTTTATTTTGTTGTGCAAATATTGAATTTGTTATTTTTAAGATAAACAAAATTCCAGGACTGGTTTGCTTTGCTTTGCTTCGCTTTCTAAGAATTCTGCTTCAATGTTATTAATAGAGTTTTTGATACATGATGTCTTACTGCCTGAAAGTGAAAGAAACTGAGCCAGATTTGAAATTGTTTCCTTCTTTCTTTGTTACAGGAACTCTTGTTGCTCAGAAAAGGATATGAAGGTGTGGGAAGTTATCACCCAGCCCTCTCCCAGAAAAATGAAATATCCTAGGAAATATTGAAAAGGCAGAATATTTATCTGGATGTGAAAAGAAAGAAACATGTTTTAAGAAACAGAATAGTTGCCTGTAGCTTCTTGCCCATCCCCACTTTGTCAATGGGTCATGGGATAAAGTCACTTTACATAATAAAGACTTCACCAGCAGCTACAGCAGGAAAGCATGATAATATTGTCCCTTTACTCAAATGGCCACATGGCATCTGAGA